TCTTGGGGAGGATTTCCCTGGTAGGCAAAGAGCAAACCTTTCTTATTCATTCCTGGGTGACGGTAAAAGGGGGAGCAGGGCTTTTTAGTGCTCTGGTGGCACAGTGGGTTAAGCATTGGGCAGCCCTCCACACACACCCTTCTGTAATGATTACAGGTGGGAGGCCCTGTGGGACCACTGCTCCGCCCTCTTGGCTTTGGATTCTGGTTCGATGGTTAATACCTGTTTATAAGCACTGACAGCTTTGTTGTTGTTAACAGTGTCACTGCCAGTCTGTTCATTTGGAAGTTGGCCTGTGAAGTGGCACCTATCTTGTATATTGTAGTTGAAAGGAATTGTAACAAACTCTTTCTACCGGCCCTGACCTCAATAGAGGAAGCTCAGGCAAACGTTTGATTTTTTTTCCCCTGAGCCCCGTGGGAAGTCCATTGGCAGTCATTTATGTCCATTATTAAAGCTGGCCACATCATGAGGCATGGGCCTTTTGGACGGGGACGGGAGGGTCGGTTCAAGTGCCCAGGCAGCCTCAGTGAACCACGAGGCGGGTGACTCACCACAAGTACCTCGTGACTCAGGCAGATCCCAGAATAGCAATGGAGAGTCTGTTTGAATCTGGATTTACATTTTGCAGACAGTAATTTAGGGAGACGGGAGAGAAAGAAAACAACTTGATTACACTTCTAAAGCTTTTTGTATTATTAAGGAAGAAAGCTAATGGCAGCCCAACCCACCTGAGTTGAGTTTGAACTTGCTGGACCCCGATTTCAAACACGGGAGGGACGGAGAAAGAATATCGAAAGTTCATCGTTTGAAAGAGTTTGCTGACAGTGGCTTGATGTCTTTCATCCATTTATAAGATCCACTGCTCTGTCGTTGCAGCCGCTCCCAGGTCTCCACACAACCCTCTGATCCTCTGACTCCTGAGTTGATTGACGCTGAGACCTGCACTACACACACGGCGAGAGAAACGTTATTGTGAAACGTTTTGCCATGATAGTCGAGATACAAGTTTCTTCCTGCATCTCCAACATCTCAATAGCATATTCTGAAAAGGCGATAATCAAGAATAACCATGACTTTTTAACAAAATACCAGCACCGAAGGTGGGATCACAATAACTAGGCCTTCGGGTGGGAAGGACAACTCGGTCAGTGTCACACAGGCAGGCTCTGTGAGACTCTCTCACTTCCACCACCACCAACCCCGAGCTGTCACACAGTGGGGAAGCCTGGATTCAGCAGAGCTAAGTGAGGAAGTGGGGTGTCTAGGATCGGAGGGTCCAGCCTTCAGCCCCCTCTCATCTTCTCTGTTCTGCCTGGGATGATATGCCAAAATTATAAAATTAAACAATTGTAACATAATTATCTAGGAGCCTGCAGGAAAAAAAGACGAGGCTCTTTGCTTCTGTAAATATGAACAGCCTCAGAATGCCTAGGGGTCAGTTCGACTCAGCCCTATGGAGTCAGAATCAACTGGCTGAGCACGTGTAACATTACCTAAAACAGTCTTTTGAACCCTCTAGTTGTACAAATACTTCTGAGGACCTACTCCATGTCAGCTGCAATTCTAGCTACTGGGAACGCAGCTGAGAATCCCTGCCCCCATGGAGCTTATACCCTAGTAGCAATGGGTGGCATTTTACCTGCTAAAGAAAGCTTGCATATTTTTCAGGATATTTCTATAAGCAACGAGCTGAGGGAAAGGGCTCTTTGCATCTGTTTTCCTTGAGGGTCCCTTTCTGCTGCTGCAAGAGTATACGAGGTGCGTTTTGTTTCATCGTAGAAAATCTATGGGCTTGAAGAAATCATAGCTGCAGTTTTAAATTTTAGAGCAGCAGGGAGCGCTTTGGAGCTAAAGCCTCTGCACCTAATCAATTGATTTAACATGCGGGGGAACCCTTAATTCCTCTGGGACTTCTGCTGAACTAACTTGCTGGCCCCTTCCATTACAATGGAAACAGGCTCTCCACAGGCCAGCGTTGACCCGTGCCATTATCAGATGCTCGCGTGCCCACACGGGTGCGGGTATCTCCCCTCAGTGCCCAGCTCTTCTTCCTCTGTGACTGTCATCTGGTTTTTCTACGAGACCACTCTTTTCTCCAACACACACCTTAAAATCTTCTCATGCTCAAAAAAAAAAAAAAATTAAAAAAAAAAATCTTCTCATGCTCTGCCACCAAGTCAGTGATGGCACCTAGTGGCCCCCAGTGAGTTTCTGAGATGGCCACTGGTTAAGCTGTTTACGGGAGTAGAAAGCCCAATCTTTCTCCCTTGGAGCGGCTGGTGCTTTCCAACAGCAGACCGACCGTGGGGACCACCAGGGCTCCCTGGTCCCGACAGCAAAGCCTTATTTTACACCACACACTTCCATCGGGAACAGCACTACCTGAAAAGACAAAAAAAGATTTAAAGTAAGATTTGCTTTCCTGATCATCGTCTTGGCCTTTTCTCCCCCATAACTAAGACTCCCATCTGCGGATCCGAGTGTTGTCCGCTTTTGAGGAAGATGAGCCCAGGAAGTGGGATCCTTGCCTTGATTGGCTGCTGA